GCTGTGTCTCTCTCTCTCAAATAAATAAATAAAAATCTTTTTAAAAAATTAAAAAAAAAAAAAAAAGGACCTACCTACTGCTCACAAAAACATTTTTACGGGAAATCTGTCTTGGGTTCTCACATGGAATACCAAGAAAGCCTCTCCCCAATCCCACGTTGCTCCTTCTAGGCTCTCCATTCCCACTCAGCTCCACAGCGGGAGCCTAACAGCACATACAGGCAAGAGGGATGGGCACCATCTCCACATTATTTTGTTTCTTTATACTTGTCAGGAAAAAAACAAAAACAATTTTACATGAATCCACTTCTGCTGGCTCCAAATTGTGTATCTGTAACTTGAAATACACCTTCCTCCCAGTCTTGCCCCAACCTCTGTCCCCAATCACCCCACATTCCAGGCCACACAGCTGCCGGCCTGCACTTTCAGCTGCCCCAAACTCTGTGCCCCACGGCTCAGGTCTCCGCCACAGTCAGCAGCACCAGGAGACCCTGCAGAGAAGGCTTTAACGTAACACACAGTAGTTATCACCCACATGGACCTGCTTAAAAATACCGCCCCCAACACCACAAATTCTTCCCCAACCCACCACCATTCCCCAAAACCCACAGACAGGAAGTGAAACTAAATTCCAGGAGCATCACCTTCATCCATAAAATACTTCCTTCACGTATTGTCTGACAACGTAAGAACACGAGAGCACTTTGTATAACATATAAGTTTTTAAGAAGCTCAAATTCAGGGGCGCCTGCGTGGCTCAGTCAGTGAAGCGACTGCCCTCGGCTCAGGTCATGATCTCAGGGTCCTGGGATCAAGCCCTGCCATCGGGCTCCCTGCTCAGTGAGGAGTCTGATTCTCCCTCTCCCACTCCCCCTGCTCGTGCTCTCTCTCCCCCAAATAAATAAATAAAATCTTTTTAAAAAAAAAAAAAAAAGGCAGCTCAAATTTAAACATGAATTTAAAGCCCATCTCGCCTCTTCAACATATCGTCAACCCTGTTAGCAGCTCAGACCAGCACCAAACGCTGCCTCATGCCCTTTTCCACCCTGACCTCCCTGCCGGCCCCTCCTGAGTAAGCGTTCTAGTCCCTAGTGCACTAGAGTGACTGCTTCAACTACCCTGTCACACGAGGACCAGGTGTCCCCTCAGACACATGAGGGGCAAAGATGCCCTTCTGGGAACTCCCCCCAGGCTCTGTGGCTGCAGACCATTCCTTGCCTTTCCCAGCCACTGTCCCTCTGAAAACAGAGACAGTGTCTGCCCTGTGACAAGGGGCCACAGAGCATGTCACATACACCCATCTCCAGAACCAGGAAGCCTGAGGCCGGAGACCGTGGGGTCAGGATGTCCACCCCTGGCGTCAGACCTTGCCTGTCACCTGTCTCAACAGTGTCCACTGGGTGCCCCTGCCATAGGAATAAAGCAACCCACATGACCTGCCTGCCACATCTCCCTCTGTCCAGCACAGTGACCCCAAATCACGATCCTCTCACTGTCCCAGTTGCAACAGCTTTTCCTGGATTGAGTCACTCAAATACTTTCCCACGGGGGTATGAGGGTGAAGGTGGCAGGTGGGGCCCTGGCTGCAGACCTGACATTCCTGGGGGAGGACTGGGAGGCAGTGTGCAGAGGATTAAAGCAAGGTGCTGAGACATGATGGCTGCTAGCTGATGGCCTCAGACAAGTGACAGTGAAGCCAGGACCTCAGAAACTGGAGTGTCCCAGGCACAGGAGGTCAGGGCGCACTCTTGACTGCAGGCCGTTGAGGCCCTGAGGCGGGAGCCGGCATGGCCCATCCCCGGCCGAATCCAGCAGGGCCTGGACAACGCAGGGCCAAGGGCGCAGGACCAAGCCGTGGGGAAAGCAGGGGCACAGCTGAGAGTTCGTCCCAAGCCTGCTGGGACTGCGCCTGCCAAGTAGTTTAAACAGCACCATGGCTGCAGGGGGCCAGAGCAGCAGGAGGATAAGCCCCACCGACAGAAGCCCTGACCGTGGGTCCCAGCGGACAGGCCAGCAGAGCAGCCTGCGGCCCCGCCCTCCTTGGGCACTGGGCATCCACAGCGACCACCACCAGCAGCCACACTCCTCTGGACCTGGGGGCCCTACACGCACACTGCAGCTCTACGCTTGAGTGAGCTGATGAACGTACCCCATAAGGGACAACTGTCTGGGACATTTCAAACCTGGGACTAATCTTCTGAAACCAGTACACAGAGGTGCTCTCAAACCACATCAGGAACATGGAAGCAAACACAACAGAAACAACAGTGGGCAGCACAGTCTCTCAGAGCTTCATGGCTCCGGACCCAGACAGAGGCAATCGGACTCAGGGAGAAGTCTGGCACGTCGACTCGGGGCTTCACAGCCTCCCGTGAGAGCACCACCAGGCAGGCTTCACGTAAACAGCTTATCATTACTTTTATTCCCCAATTTCAAATCTCTGAGTTAAATTTGGTCTTTTGCAAACAAAAGACAAAAAAAGAGGCAGCAAAAGAGAAGATACCCATCTGCTGTTCTGAAGTGGATTTACGAAGGCGTCTGCAGGTCCAGAGGCCTCCCCGCAGAGCACCCCATGGACACCTCCTGGCCCGCCCCCAACTCCCAGGTCTGTCTGTCCTGCTCCTCAACCTTTCAGGGGCCACTGAGGAGCCTGCCCAGGAGGTGCAGCTCCAAGCACTCACGCCAGTGGCGGAAACCTCACTCTAGATGAGTAACACTACAAGACTACTGGGCCCACGTTTTAATCTCTCTGGTGACTGCATGGTCAGCGTCCGTCACAGAGGCTTGGATTTACTTACCTAAGTAATGTGCTGGGTGAAATGCCATAGGCTTACTAGTCGCTGAGTAATATCCAATTGCTCTCTTAAATCGAATAACTTTGTCATCTGTTCTAGACTGGAATAAACGTAGGAAAACCTTTGTAAATTGCATGCCACTGGTCCTGTGCATGAACATACTTTCACAATTCAGCACATGTATCATCTACAGCTTTTCAAGTTAGAGAAGAGTTTAAAGTGACATTAAAATCTTCCAGGAAAAGCAACAAATCAGACACTAATCCTCTCAGAGTGACATGGGTTAACACAGACTGGCACCCCATCAGGAGACCCGGGTCTGCAATGCAGCCCTCTGGAGTCCCGGGCTTCTCCGGGCCACGTCCCTGGTGCGGCCTGGGGAGGTTTTCTGTCCTGTCTCCAGCAAGCAGGACAGTGGTTTCAGCTTTCCAGAGAGACATGGGAGATCACACCAACCTCATGTCCTCCATTAACCCCGACTCACTCACATTCCCTACTTTCCCCAAAAAAGAAGAAGAAATCCCTGACCATCACCTGAAGGGATGGACAAGTCACGTTCACAATTCCACTCAGCCCGCGTGATAGGTCTGTCTTCTCAGGAGAAACGTTATCAATCATGATGGAGAATGTAGGAGCAGCAGACCTCCCAGGCGTCTACCTTGAGCCCTCCCGGTGCAGCCGCGGGGGAGGCCGGGAGCCAGGTGAGGGGCCCCTGCCACACCCACCCCCGCCGTGCAGACTGCTCCAAGCCTGCGCCGTACCTGAGAATGCTGGAACACATCTTTAGCTACGGCATCCAAGTCCGAGGGGTCCTGGATGTTGCGGACGTAGTCGGCCACAGCCTTGATCACCACATCACACGGCGGCAGGACTAGCTGGTGGGCCCGGACCTGAGAAAGAAGTGCACAGGTCAGTACATGAGTCCCAAGGGCAGGGCCCAAAAGCTGCAGGCCCCAGCATGACCCCCCGGTGAGTCTCGGCCCCAAGACTCTGGTGCTGAGGCTCAAGCCGTAGCTCCCCTCGGCTATTAAGTACAACTCGGCCACTTCCACCAAGCTAGGTCACGGAGTGCCTGGCAGTCCCACGTTACTTCTGACACATCTGCGACCTGCTCACCGTCAACCCTGGGCTCAAAACCCCGTGCCCCAGAGCAGCGAACATAGCGCGAGAAGCCACGGGCTGCAGACACTTCCGTTCTTCCTACGCCAGCCGACAGGAGGCCGTGCTGGGCGAACGCAGCCCAGGCGCCAGACCACCAAGAAAGCCAAGTCGGCTCTGAGTGGGAAGAAAGATGGGTGCCTGACTGCTGATGCTGACGGTCAAGTCTTGTGAACGATACACAGAACAAGTGTCGTAATATTTCACGGTCCCAGAATAGCTCATCCCACGAAAAGGTAAGTAAACAGGTTTTATTTTAAAAGGTTTTATGCTCTTTAATAAAAACTAAAAAACCATGGAAAAAATATGATTTCAGCTAAAACTATAGTTTCGCCCTTTTCTTAGAAACAAAGATGAATCAGGCACTTTGTTTCTAGCAATTAAAAAAAGTCAAATGATAGCAAGAAATAATCTTTATTTCCCATATAACCACAAAGATCACAAAGATAAAAAAAACAGAGCACAGACCCCAAAAAGCCCTGTGCGTCCAGAACTGTCCGCTCCTGCCTGCCACCCTGGGCTGTGCAGGTGGGCCCAGTGTCACCACAGGGGAGCTGGCTTCAGGGACAAGGAGTGAGGAAGGGCCACAAACCATGGAGTGCGGCGGCCCCTGAACCTGGAAGAGGCAGGAAACACCCTTAGAGCTTCCAGAAGGAGTGTGGCCTTTAGAACGGTAAGATGATAAATCTGAGTTGTTTTAAGACATGCGCACACATGCACAAAGACAGACAAAAACAAAAGAAAAAACTCAGAAAACCTGAGCCTGAGCACAAGACGTGGAAGAACCCACCAGAAAACAGACATTTACACTTTTAAGTCACCATCGAGAAAATTTTCAGATGCGCAGACCACATTCACTCTCTCCTCACAGAAGCAACAGGTTTTCTTGAAGCACCGTTCCTCATGTCCGGGTCAAGGTTCTCAGCCCCCATGTGCCGGCCATTAGTGCTCATGAAGGGACACCCCATCGCGAGGACTCCAGAGAGCCATGCACACGTCTGTGCGCACACATCACAAGCTCAGTCCTAGAAACCCAACCCCCCATGAAGGCAAAAGCCCATGGGTGCACACATGTCCCACGGGACGAAGCCTGGCGAACAGCGTGTGCCAGCCAGTCTGGGAGGAATGCAAGTCCCACCTGTGCTCCCCCTTCTGGGGTGTCTGGTCCCATGGCCGGGCAGGAGCAGGGCCAGCTGGTGGCAGCCCAGGAGGGAGGAGTCAGAACAGAAACCCTGCACCGTCCTCAAGGAACATGGACGGGGCCAGGGACAGCCGTGCCCGAGGGCCCAGGGCCTCAACTCCCGGCCTCAGCAGTGTGGACCTGGCTGACCAGGTGTGCCCCTGGCACCCTGAAAGCCTACGGGGCCCTCGAGGTTTTCATACCATGCTGCCAGGGCTGGCTCTTGTACGAGGATTTCAGATACAGAACAGAGCGATAACAACATGGTGAGAACAACCTACAGGATATAAAAACAGCCAAATGTGGAAAGGGCTGTCCCCCAGGGGTGGGGAGCTAACGGTGCTACAGGCTACCTCTCCTGGGGTGTGCACCCTGTCACTGGGACTCCGCAGATGACGGGGAGCCACTCACAGTCTGTCCCACCGAGTGAAAAGGACCACCTGTCACTTCCGTTCCTGTGGACATCCCTGCTTCACTCCCGCCCCCACGACTGCTGTGCTGAACGAGCCTTGAGGGAAAGCAGCCGATGCCACCAGTGAAGACTCCCGAGTGCCCCCCCTGCCCCGCTCGGTGCAGAAGTCCCCACGGCCCTGACTCCCTCACACCAGCCACCACTGGCCCTGCAGCTTCCTTCAGAATCAAGCCTCCCAAACCCACCTCAGGGCAGCACCCGGTGGCAGCGGCCAGGCCCAGGGGACAGCACGAGCGCATGCACGGCTTGGGGCACACAAGAGAGGCTTTAACTCAGGAAGAAAGAGCACACAAAGTCATTTCTGCAACTCAGATGGCACTGTTATAACCTCCAAACATTCGCCAAAAGATTATACACGTTCCAAAATGATTTACCACAGAATTCCTTTTATGAGAAAGATTCCTGGTACATTCAAATAAGGATATATTTGCAGATACCCAACCAATTTATTAAACTTCTGACATTCCTGACAACTTTTAATTTGTACTTTTTTTTTAAATTAATTTATTTTTTAAAGATTTTTATTTATTTATTTGACAGAGAGAGAGAGACAGCGAGAGAGGGAACACAAGCAGGGGGAGCGGGAGAGGGAGAAGCAGGCTTCCCGCGGAGCAGGGAGCC